GATGATTTCGAATGAGTAAATGGACCTAATTGAAATTTTTGTGAATCATTAAATTGATCTGTAGTTCCAATAATAACAAGATATTTTCCATCTATTAAAATAAAGAAAACAATGAATTTAAAAAAGAAAATAATAGAACATAAGAAATTTCTATATTACCTCCAATTGTATGATCATAAATAGGTCGAGTTTGATCTGCTTGCATTCCATCTTGTATTTGCCAATTATTATGAATTTTTATTGGACATAATTCATCAGCAAGATCAAATGTACAACTCATTATAATATCAGCTTCTAATAAAAATAAAACAAAAAAAACATTCAAAAAAAACAAAATTTGTTTTTTTTATTCATACGTTTGCATCCTGGATGTCGACATGATTCAATTTCGAATGAATTACCTCTTAATGATGAACATGGTTCTGAATTACCATCTATAACTGTATTCGAACATAGACGTGTACGAACACGAACACTACTACCACAAGATTCACTACAATTAGACCAATCACTCCATTCAAGCCATCGAACACCATTATTTGCTGCGAAGACAAAAAAAAAAAAGAAGATATTGTAAATAAAATAGAATAGAAAAATAAAACATAGATTTACTTGAAGTGTCACTTGCTAATGTTTTTAACAATGATATTGGCATTGTTTGAGGTTTTTCTTTTTCTATGGAATTAAAATGTAAATTGTTTTCTGAAACATGCCAAGGTGTTGCTTTAATAAAAAGAAACAAAAAACTAATTATATATTTTGTTTTTTGATAGATTAAATAAATAAAATTAATTATACCTAAATATCCTTGTAATAAATTACATTGATCACCATAAAAACCATCTGGACATGTACATTTACAATATTGATTAACATAACCTTCATTTTCACATATTGGCTTTGGATTACAAACATCACCACAATAATAACCTAAATTTGCTAATTTACTATCAAGATATGATAAAGCTACACGTTGACCCATAAGAAAAGTACGTCGACTATCACGAGCTACCATAAGATCCTAAAATTTATTTATTATTGAAAATAAATTTTCCAAAAAAAAAAGACATAAAATCATTTACTGTAGGATAATAATGCATTATAGAACCAAGATCATAAGGTTGACTATAATAATCATGTATTGAACGTGTCATTATAACATATTGTGTTGCTTCATTTGTTGACATTAAATGAAAATGTATATCTATTTCTTGATCACGATCCGCACGAGCCATTTCATGATAAAAACCAATAACATGTCCTAATTCATGAATAGCTGAACCAAGTGGACAATGTAAAGGTAAATAAAGAGAATAAGATGAAAGAAAACCATTTGAAGATGGTCGATAACCAACAAATGTTGCACATCTATAAAAAAACAAAATATATATAATTAAAAGTAATTGAAATTAATATTAATAAACAAACCCTGTTCCAGTATCTTCAATGATAATTTTTGCACCTATATTCCAATGACGTGATGGATTATAAGGTTCAAAACGAATACATGTACGTTCATGCCAATGTTGAATAGCATTCAATACATTTTGTTGCACACGATAATCTAATTTTTTCAAAAAAAAAAATCAATAAATCTTTTTTCAGTTAAAACAACTTACCAATTCCTGAAATAAATTCATATGGTACTATTCCATGTGGCCATCGATTACTAAGACCAAAAATATTTGTTTCATCAATTATTTTTCGTTTCAATCTATTTATTGAAATAAAATTAAAAGATAAAAAAAAAAAGAAACACCAAAGATTTTATTTGAATATAAATATATTTTGGTTTTTTTAAATAAATCTACCGTTTCGAACGAAAAAATTGAATTTCATCACTCGGAAAAAGAATATCACCATTAGTAAAATATTTTGGCTTATGTTGATTTTTATTATTTGATTGTGATTCAGACATTTGAACTTGATCAATAGGTCTTGGTTGAATAATCTTGAAGAAAAATAAAATCAATTTATGAAAAAAATAAATAAATAACTTACAGGTTTTGATATAATACGACCCTTTTGAATAACATGATGACCAAATTGAGAAGTTGTTCTTCTCATAATTTTCATATATTGTTCTTGATTTTCACATTGAATAAATGTAAGATATATGAGAAAAATCAAATCTTGACAAAGTAATTTCAATTTCATAGTTTTGATAAAACATACATAAAATAAAATATGAAATTGATTACCACGAGTATATACTACTAATGTGTCAGATGATAAAAAAAAATAAGCGAAGTTAAAAATCAACACAATAATATTCAACCTGTTTCAATTGATTGTTGACTATTATTTATAAAAGAAAATGTACTGGCAAAACAAGGGCAAGTATCATAATGGTATAATACGCCCCAAGGATGTTAAAGGCTGATGTAATGGCATTGTTCTTCTTGCTATATACAATTCTTAATAGTATTCAATTTCAAAGTTGAATTCAATTATTGAACTATGCTTCATATATATTCAATGTTGCTTTTCATGTATGTTACAATTGTCGTAACATTTGTAACAAGAGAAATACTCTATGTCTACAATCTGTATGTGCGCTTTCATGAAATACATTAGTACTAGAATAATTGAACTCAATTATTGAATACTTTTTAAGTTTCAAGTATTCAACAATTGAATTAGACTTTCAAGTTCGACATGTATGCCATCATACCAAGAATGTTACGAGATTTTAATATACATGAAAAGTAACATTAGATACTTGAACTGTAATTCAATAATTGAATTGTACTTTCACATTTGACATTGTTCTATTATTTATATTATTCTTACTATTTGATCGTGTTTTTTTTCATTAGTATTCATTTATTTGTCCATTGATATATTGATTGCAACAATGAAAAATTCATCATTAGAAATTCTCGCAGAGAGAAAAGAAAAAAGAAATTTTATTATTCAAAATTTCGAATATACAAAGCAGCCATCATGCCGTAATATGTCGGACAAGAAGAAATAAAATTTGTTAATAACCAATAAGAAGATGGTTCAATTGGTTTCGATGAATCATCTATTCGATTTTGGATCAAATCATTTTCCATTATACCTTGCATTGTTAATGATCCAACATAACCACAACTAAGAGCAAATTTTTCTATATTTCCAGCTTCATTAATTATTAATTTTTCATCTAATTTATACAAATTAGTTTCAGAATTTGAACGTTTTCCTGTTATCCAATCATGAATAATTTCATCAAATAATTTTGAATGTTCAGTACCACATTGTGGAAATTTTGAAAAACATGTTGGATCAGGTTGATAAATTGTTGGTAATTGTGAAGACCATGCATGTGTATGAGCTTGATCACCACTTATAACAAGAAGAATTCGTTGTGATGATTTATTACACCATGATCGAATTAATCGACCAAATTTTACAAGATAAGTTCGTTGCTCTTCAATATATGAATTTCGTTCTTCAGCTAAAACAAAGAAATTTTTTTTTTTTTTTTTTTTTTTTTTTTTTGATTGTCAAAATAAATAATATTTTTATACTTGTTGTGCCTTTCATTGGTTGTGCAATAATAATTACTTTAGGTTTTGATTGAATTGAAATATTTTTAAGTGTAGAATTATTATTTGTTTTTGTTTTTAATACTAATTGATATAAAGTAAAATATAATGGTACAACTTCACCCCATCGTAATGGAACATTAAAACCACAAAAAGCTAACATTCCTTCTACTCTTTGTAAATTTTGTTTTAAATATAAATATAAATCTTGACATGTTTCACCATCTAATTTAACATCAACACTATAGTCAATCCAATTATTATTCCATTCAGCATTTCCACTTGCTGTACTATCTAGTACACCTGGTTGATAAATATTAATAGCTTGATGAAGATTTATTCCATGTGGAGTTAAAAGAATAATAAGATCAGGATTTAATTCAGCTATTTTTTCACTTATTTTCATACAAGTTAAATGAAGAGATTTAACACCATTTGGAAGATCTTCACGATTTGGATCTAAAAGCATTGTACCATGAGGAAGATAGGCAACTCCTATCAAACCAGAAGAAGATGATTTTGCCATATTCTATAAAATTATAAATTTATCTAAAAAAAAGAAAAACAAGTAATTTTTGATAATAAATAATATCTTCAAAATCGTCAATGTTCAGCTACATGGTTGTTTAATCAATATGTAATAATAACTATAATTCTTAATAAAAGATTTCTTTATGAATCTTGATCACTAAAATTTATTTATGAATCTATTTAGATTTGATTTGTTAGTTTTCTAACGTTTTAAATATCATAACTGTCGCTATCTTGACAACAAAAAAATCTACAAGCAGATGTCATTAATATCTGAATTAATATAAAAACGTTTTTTTTTCTTCTCATGTTTATTGTGAAAAAAAAAA